AGGCGTTACTTTGTCTTTTTTTGGTGCAAGAAAGCAAAGACATTAAGGTCCCAATTTCATGCAACAATGCCTGAACCAAAGAATTAAAGTTACTAATAAAAGTAAAGAATTAACCAATTTTGAGTATAAAAGGCTGATTTATCGAGAATAACTAATAACCAAGGGATAGAAAAATGTTACCTTCTTATTGAATCATGAAGCTATAGAGAAACGGGAAAAAGTGAATGGGCTTATTGCACACCGATGCTCTAGCGTACCTGAAATATCCCAAGAGGAGCTGATGCAATAAAATTATACAGGGTCTTCAAATATCACATGAGGATAAAATAAGGAAAAGGCATAGAGTTATTGAAGCTAATAATTCTTGGGGAATATTTATTATATACATATATATATTGATATCCAGTTGACCCATTTAAATATTTTATGTACTGGACAAAAATATAGTATATTTTTACTTGAAACATTTTGTTTAGCAAATTCAAGAAAATTTCCACCTATTTCTCATATTATTCACTCGTTCTCCTAGCATTCATCTAACTGTGATTTATTATTTAACTAACCTAATTAATTAACATAAAATTTATCATATTTATAATTTAATAATTTTCCAACAAAATGAAGTTCAACTTATGGCTCAAGATATAATAAAAATTTAAGCAATTCTAACAATTTATAAACATATAGCGATTCAAAAGAAATTAAAAAAATCAAAATCTCATTTATTATCTTTATTAAGGCATATGTGAACTTTCATAGTTATATTATTTTTCAATTTTTAAAAATTAGAAAAAATTGGCAAAGTATATGATCCTAAAAATTTCAACAATTACGAAACAAAAATTCACTCAACAATAATTATTTATTTTTTCTATTTGTTAAAAAAAATAGGTAAGTCTTTTCCTAAAATTATAGCATTCCAAAATATCAGCAATCAAAATTTTTCAATATCAAAATTTAAATAGAAAAAATCACACACGACCAAACCCAGGGAAGGATGAGATCATCATTCAACCATACCCAAAATGTCAAAAAATTTGAAATGAGAAGAGGGAGGAGGGTTAGGAAGCTTACTTGAATGTTTTTTTAGCTTAGAGTACCTCTAACAAGACCAAAGACAAGCCCTAGTAGCCAAAATCTTCCTCTTTATTGGCTCTCTCTCCTTTCTCTTCTTTTCCCCTTTGTTTTCAGACCTATGCAAGTTTCTAATTTAATCGAATTCATGTATCCGTATCCGCTGCAGTGGATGGCACACTCTAAAACCCACCTAGCCTTCTTCCAATGCTGTCTTAGGTTTTGACAAGTCCTTTAGTGATTTGGAAACTCGATAAACTTAATTTATCATTATTTTACTATTTTACCCTTATAAGTTCTAAGTTGAAAATTAAAAATTTAGGGATGTTACATTAAACATATATATAATAAAAACTAATCATTGAGGGCCTCCTGTGGTGTTAGTGATTACCATATGAATTTAAAATGTCACCTTAAGGTAAACTCACATCCTCTCACAAATATGATCATGCCAAACAATATAATGCAAGTCATTAGGTTGTTTAGATACATCTATGATCACTCCCCCATGGTATATTTGGAACTATTTGTCCTTTTTATTTAACGTAATGAATGCCCCCCCACTCTACACTGTCATTGTTTTGCTATCACCAAACAACTTTGAGATAAGTGTGTCAAAATGCCAAGCATATCTATTTTGGAAATTTGAAGCAAATCATTAGAAATAAACTAATAAAGTAAAAAAAATTAGATGGGCAAACTTTTTCATCAATTATGAAACCAAGTAAAAAGCCTTCTAGAAACAATGTAAAAAGTTTGTTCTTTATCAACAAGAGCTCTCCTTACCATGTCTCTATAATTGGTACCCCTTGTGACCCATTATCATGGGTTCGAGTTGTGGATACAACTCTTACAAACATACATAATAATATTTTAACAGTCAAAATTTAAGGGTCATTTTTGCCCTTAACTTTACCCAAAGGGTCACTAGGACCGTAACGCAACTATAGGTGAATTTTGTCCCTCATGTTAAAGATTCCCTCCTTCATCACCCTAACATTGAAAACACTTAATATCCATTAGTTATGAATGGCTCCCACTATTTTTTAATATTTTTTATTGGATAAAAGGTCATTTTTGCTCATAAACTTTTTTCAAACCATTATTACAAAAATGGGCTTTAGTGGCGTCTGAAATTTCAATCAAGTGGTGTTTAATAAATGCTAAAAATCCAATGCTATAAAAGGTATTTGGTGGCATTTTATTAATTATGGATTCTCATAGGGGTGGCGTTTGGAAAAAAAATGCCCTCGCTCTCACATTATAGAATTTTTAAAAAAATAGAGAGGTGGCATTCTTAATGAAACCCATGAGACTGATGTAAGAGCGAGGGCATTTTGTTTTCCAAACGCCACCTTTATGAGAATTTTAAAAATAGATTAGAGAGGTAGCATTTCTTTCTGAAACAAATGCTACCTCTCTCATACAACAAAGGTGGCGTTTCTTCCTCGGACAAACACCCACCTCTGTTAATTATTTTTCAAAATAAATAAAGTAAAATAGGTGGCATTTTTAGGTTGAAAAATGCCACCTATTTGGTATAATTTTTTTAACTCATACATATTAGTGAACGATATTCAATTTGAGAGCCATGCTTTTTGTACAATCAATGATTTTTCAGTGTATGGTAATCTATCAGGATATAGCATTAAGGACAACTTAGATGCCCTATTGTAAAGAAGGCACACATTCAGTGAGGTTTGCAACATGATATGAAGAACATGTACCTTAGGCATCACAGATGGTTGGGTGACAAGTATTGATATTGTCATTGGAAAAATCATTTGATGGAAAATCAGAAGAAAGAAGGCCACCAAAGCAATTGACTGGTGATGAACTATTTGAGAAGTTAAAAGATGTTGATATTGAATTTGGCAAACCATTTGCGAAGCATGTTAGAACAAATGGGTGAAAGAAAATGTCTATGTTCTTTGTATTGCCATATTGGAAGACCTTGAATGTCAGACACTTCCTTGATTTAATGCATATTAGAAAAATGTTGTGATACTCGTATTAGAACATTGCTTAGTATTCTAAAAGACCAAGGATGGCATTAATACAGGTTAGACATGTTGCGATGGGGATAAGAGGAGAATTGGCACCACAAGAGAAAGGAACTCGTACATTTCTTCATGCTACAGGCTCACATACTATCTAGAAGAAAAGAAAAGTTTCTATGAGTTTCTTGCTATAGTCAAGATACCGAATGGGTACCCTTCAATGTAGATGTTGTCTTGTGGCATTTTTCAAGCAGGGTTTAGCTATAACAACCAGCAACAGTGAAGGAAGAGATGATTTGGTAATATTTTAAAGTTGACATACGTATAATTATACCTCTTAGTCAATTTTTTGAGATATGAAGCTTTATTTTGGCCACTTAGAGGTTTAATTAAGCTAGTTCAAATTAATACATAGCTATGTAGTAATGCACCATGCACTTTCAAATTTCATCATTTTATGTATAGGATAGTATTGGTTGTTGAAAATTTGTTATGGTATGCTAGATATTGTATTATAAATGTTCCAATGCGGGGATGTATATGAAAAAACATAACCCAACATATTTAATGGTTATATCTAAAACTGTTGAATAACTTGCCACTATATATTCAACGGTTAAAAACTTGCACTATATATTCAACGGTTAAATTTTAACCGTTGAATATATTAAGAACATGCAACAATTTTTTAAAAAAACCGTTGCATATCAGGTATATATTGAACGATTAAAAATGTATAATCGTGGAATATACTAAGAATATGCAACGGTTTAAATAAAACCGTTGCATATTTTCTTGTAGTTATTTAAAAAAAATCTAACGGCCAATATTCAACAGTTTCGCAAAAAAAAAAAAAAACCGTTGAATCAAGGTTAAATATTCCGCATTTAAAAAACCATTAAATAAGGGTTTAGAGAATATTTAGCGCCTGATTTACTCAACAATTATAATCGTTGAATATTATCTAAATAACCGTTAAATATTGTTATTTTTTGTAGTAGTGAATCCCACATTTCTTCTTTAGATTTGATATTAACAGCATTTCATTTTTTATTGCTACAAAATGCTTACTATTAAATATATTTCTATAGCAGTGAAAGGTCAGTAGGCACCTTTGACTCAAATATTTTTAATGAAAGGTATTAAAAATATAATGTGAAGCCCACTAATGATTAGAAATGAGATAGGGTGATAAGGGAATAATCTTTAAAGTTGAGAGATAACTTAACCTGCGGTTGAGTTTAGGATTTTCCGTGACATTTCGAGTAAGTTGATAGGCAAAATGACTCTTAACCCAATATCTAACTCCAAGTGATTTTGATCCTCTCTCTACATGTATACTCATAATGGTAGGAACACCATATCTAAGGATAACATTTTGTCCTACCTATTGGGTTTTTTTTTTCTTTTTGTTTTTTTTTAGCAGCATTCATATTTATTGTTTGACATGCTATCAATACTCAACCATGTATAAGGGTCACGTCATGTTATTATATTTATAGTGTTACCCATCATATCAACATTCAACCATACATAATCCTTGTATACATACAACAATATTAAACTTTCTGCAAATCACAAACCACAATTTAGTTTATTTGTACAACTCGATGACTTTGGTTCCGACACTCCGCCGAACCTGCAAGGTGTTGGAGCTCCTTGTAAATAAGGATACATTTTATTCTATTTATATCAAGTCTTATATAATAGAATTGTGCATCTTGAACTCTGAAAATCACATGCCCACGATCTGGTTTATTTATAAAACTCAATGACTCCTAAAGCCATTGAGGTAATACGAGAAGCAATGTGATAGCTAGAAACCCAGCAGCCTTACAAAGAGCTTCAAATTCTTCTCCCAGTCCTGTCCTTGCTACCACCAGTAGCCAAAAAACTTGAGGGTTGTTAAACATTGAGGCCACTTGTGGCCATCCACTCTCATTTGGTATTTCTGGAATTATCTGGTCAACAATAATAACCTTCCCATCTTTGTTTAAGAGACCTATGACAATTCTTTAGAATCTGTATGCAGTCTTCATCTCCCCAGTGATGAATTGCAGCCTACACAAGAAATTAGGCAGATATAGCTTACAATTATCAAACCTTAAAGAATAGTTATTTCATTATGGTAATTTTGGTGTTACTAATTAAACTGACCTTAATCATTATAGCTTCGCCTTGTGGAATAACGCTTTTGAGCATATCTCCCCAACATGCGTTATTCCTTTGATCATTTAAAGAAGATTTATAAGTTCAAAAGAAAATATTTCATGATTTGGAAAATTATATTTAATGGATTTGATTGATTAATTTGCATCAAAATTTTAAGGAATAAAATAATTTAATCAATCCAAATACTTCTAATTTACACTTGCAAGGAAGCCAGTTTTTTTTCCCTAGGATAATAGATCTTTTCGTCCTCTCAAATTTGCCTCAATTATCAATTTGGTCTTCAAGTTTAATTTTAATCAACTTGATATCTTATGTTTTCTAAAATTATTTTGTTAGTCCTTTAAGGTTTAAAAATAAATTAACTTCTCGAATAATCTCGGTGAAAAGTATAATGATGATTTTACATGTAAATGTAGCTAAATGAAAACAAATTAATCCTCAATTAGTTTAATTTTTATCAATTTAAATCCTTTAAACTATTTTTATTCTCTTATTTTTAAACTAAAACTCAAAATCTATTTTTCTCCTACCTAAATAATTATATTTCTTTTCATTAATTTACATGGTTGTTATAAAAAATTTTATAACATATGTCAACAAATTTTAACTGTGTTGTCTCCTTTTTAAACAAGAAAGATCAAATTAATAATTAAAGTAAACTTAAAGGCTATATCGATAAAAATAAACTTTAGACTATATCGAGAATGGAAATAAACTTAAGGGACTAAAATTGTGTTATTCTTTTTTTTCCATTTCAAATTTCAATGTCAAAGTTTCTTCATTTGTAATATTTTAGGAAAAATACCGCTCAAATTGTGTTTTGTTTTTAGTCCCTATAAATAGTTTATTTTCATGAGTTTCCATCCCTTTTATATGCTTCATTTAAATGTTAATCATGATCCTCAGTGAAATGGAATTATCACTATTTGGACCTCTGCATTATAGAATCAGAGAAGCACAAGGACGTATGTTGGACCTCAGCAAAATTAGCACTATTTGGACCAATTCACCTAAGTATTTTTTTTTTTATAAATAAAGGGATCGGATTACATTTCATATAGATTAAATGAATGAAAACCATTAAAACAAATTATACATATAGAAACTAAGAACAAAACCTGTTAAAAAATATAAGGACCTAAAGTAGTATTTTTTCCTATATTTTACTAATTAAACTACTCTTCAATAATTTGATCATAATGTAATTTTAAGTATCATGTGCAATAAACAGATCAAATTTTTAGTTGACATAAAAGTAGATTCAAGTTAACATTCTTTGCATAGTAATAGTAAGTTGTCGCATATGGGCTTAAGAAGACATGAGAATTGGGTTTTTGGGTTACCAACTAATGGGCCAGAATACTATTGGTTGGCTAAAGTGGCATATGGGTTCAGAGGAAGGAAGTGAGGATATATAAAATGGGTAAGCAATATTAACAAGAGTTGGACTTAATAAAAAGGGCTAATATCTTATAATATGATAATTAAAGTTTAAATTCTCTCTGAAAGAGGCTGCTAGACCTTTTTCTTTATTTGTCATTTCCTTTTGTATCACTCTACTATGCTCTTATTTTTTTATGTTAATTTTCTTCCATTTCCCCAGTATATTCTCATGCCAATGGCTGTTTACGTGTACTATTTTCCTTATGTATTGAGATAATAATACTTGAGTCTTTGTGTTCAGGGATATTTTTGTGTTCTTTTAATTTTATTGCTATCAGATTGGTGATCATGACATATATACACACGTACAAATATATACCTGGATGGGATACACCGTGTTGTATCACTCGTGGCAAGTCAAAGTTAATGCCCTGAATTGAAGGATACTTAGAGATGATCATTTTAAGGCAGTGGCCAATGCCACCAGCAACATCAACTAGTGTTGATATTCCCTCAAATCCTTTGTATCTTTCAAGTACATGCTTCATCTGTATCATTGATAAATCAGCCATTACCTGACGTACGGTGGTTTGGAATGTTGGATCTATTTCCATATATTCAAACATAGACATTCCATGAACTTTCTTGAACAAGTCCTCTTCCTCATCAAGAATCACTTGCTTGAAGTTTTCCGTAGCATCATATATCAACAAAATATGTAATTTCTTGAACACACACTCTCACACACAAGTAAATCATTACTATAAAATTTGTTTATTTGTAGTATTTACACCAATTAAATACACACAGTTAAAAAAAAAAATCAATGCAGAAAGTATGAAAGGTGACAATTTTGTAAATTATAAGTTGCCACCATTTTACTTTTCTGCACTAGCCTTATTAAGAGTGTTTAAAATCAATCCAAATTAATTATATCAAATCAAATCAACGTGAATATATTAAAATTAATTGTAAATAAGGTTTGGTTAGATTTTTCTTTTGGAAAAACTTTTTGAGAGAATAACATTAAAGTCTTAAAAAAATAAATTTATGATAGTTAGGTTCTTGACAAAATTTTCTAAAAATTTAGTTGTAAATATTAAAACAAATAGTCATAAATTCAGGAATTCTAATGATAGATAAAACATTTAAATTTTAAATATAACTTCGAGTTTGTAGTTGAATTCATGTTTGGATTAGTACTTATAATTTATTGTTTAAAAAATTTTGTCAGGAACTTAAACAGTTATAAATTTTCAGTTTTTAGACTTATTATCATTCTCCCTAACTTTAATACCAATTTGGCCCCTCTCCCTATCCTATCCTGATTCTGCCCCTAGTTCTGAATGGATGATGAAAATTAATAACTGATTCAAAGCATGAAATACTTACCAGATTTTCATGAAACGGGATGACAATACAATTTGAAGAGTCTGACACAAAAGGTTCCATCCTCATCCGAGATCAAGTACTCACCGACATGAGACAGACCATAAAGCCTCTCAATTTGCCATCTTGCTCAACTTTGGGAGAAAAAGTCAGCAGAGAGTAAGAAGCAAGCAAAACTAGCATCCGATCGAGCCGATGAACCATTCCTGCGTGTGGATTTGGAAGCTTGGAAACAATTTCAGAGGATGACATGAACTTAGAGCCTCCCTTGCCAATGATCTCAAACAGGTTCAGCACAATAGCAGCATTTAACACCGCATGGTAAACTTGATGAGCTGGTAGCATCATAGCATTGAAAGAATTATCAGCATCTTGTTCATGATTCGCTAAGGAGGCACTCATACTTGCTAGCTTCTTCTTTGTTGCCGACTCATTTCCTTCTACCAACAATGGATGATGGAAGAGAAAATTTTTTAACCTACGGTATTTTCTAAGTCTAGCTGAGGGCATTTATGTAGCAACTTTGACTACTGTTGAAATACTCTCATGCATAATTTAAAATTATATTGAAGCAAGACTTCTGTAGCCATAATTTATTTATAAACATAAGAAACAAAAAAGAATAATTCTTTTATCAGATATAAAACGAGTAACAGGTAAAAGTATCAATCAACATATATTAAAAAAATTTCAAAAAGCCACACTATTGGGTGAGAAATTTTAGATGACAAAAAAGCTATACTATACTATTAAGCTATGAATAGTGATCATTGTATCTCATTTCAAATGTTCGGTGAAAAAAGTCAACAATTTTTTTTTTTTCTGAAAAAGTAAAAAAATCTGGATGGGTTTCTATTTCTCCAATCTTCGGTGGAGTTTGCTTGTTGGCAGGAAGCCGTTGGATTTTCTAATTTCGTAGTTATCCACTAAGTAAAGTTGTCAAAGAAACTAAGATTAATTAATGTGATGTCATTTAAATTTATTTTTATAAGAGTTTGAGCTTTAAAAAATGACAATTTTTAAGAAAATTGAGCTTTAAAATCCAACTCTAATAAGCCTTGAAAAAACAAGTTTGGGCTTAGAAGGCACTTCAAGGCTTTTTTGCATTTTACCTTTAAAAAAATTTTAAATTTTTAAATTTAATTTAAATTTTAAAATATATGCTTACATTTTAAAATTAAAATTTTTGTTATTTAATTTTAATTTTTGAACATTATAATTTGTATTTAAAAAATATGAAAATTAAATTGAAATTTTTGGTTTTATAAAAATCTAAAAAAAGGGAGGCTTATGGGCTCGACCCAAGCTTTTAGAAGAGAGGTTGCTAAGTTAAAAGCCTAAGTAAGCGACCTAAACATGATCAAGATCCTAATGATTATCAAGGCAATGGATTTGGCTCCTTATTATGACCATCCAAGCAAGTTTTCTTTTGGAATAACTCAATCATCACTCAAAAAGTGCATATTTTTAGCAATATAACAAAGCACTTAAAGGGACAATAAGAACCACGAGTAAAGGACTTCTTATCAATGTTGCAGACATTTCATCATTATACAACCTTTACAAATTTTCCCTTATTGTTGTCCTACTTTTTCTCCATGTGTTGGCTTGTGTTAGCATTATAATCTATTAGGTCATTTCTTTTAGACGAATCTTTGTCTTTGTCAATTATTTCTTGCCCCTGTCTTTGAGTGGCATAATAAACTCTACATTCAAACTTTGTATAAGAGCATATTTTAAATAAAAGAGTAACTTTTTAGCTCAACAAACACTCAGGGTACTATGTGTGATATTCTCTACTTGTATTTAACCGGTGTAATTTCAGGGCTATTATTAACACCTATGCTTAAAAATGGCTATTGAATTCAAAAAGGCCAATCAAATTTAACACATATAGAAGATCATGTGCAGTAATACCTATATTGATCGGTAACAACATATATGGCTATTGCAAGATTATGCAAACAATTGAGTTCTAGTTAGGTGTTCTGCTAAGGCAGGGATAATATTGTGCACCAAGTTTGTTTCATTTTCTCTCTCTCTTCTCTTCCTCCCTTTTCTTCACCATCGCCTCCACCACCACCACCATTATCACCATCTTATTATTCATTGTCGCCATCGTCCTTATCGCCTTCACCATCATCATAACCATTTTAGCATTTCATAACTTAATTCATACATCACATTTCATCACATGACAAACACACCCTGTTAAAGCCATCTGACAACAGGAACTCTTAAAGCCCAATAATGGCAGGCATCCTTTTCACAGCCTAATATGGCAAGCACCCTTTTCAAAGTCTTATAATGACAAGAACCCGATAACGTCCCTACTTTAATTCAGACGTTACCATTACATTTACACATATAATAATACAATCACAATACAATTTTAGAGTAAAAGCCCTTTATTTGTTTTCAAAATGCAGGATCCCTATTTTGTCAAATATAAGTTCAAATAAGAGGGCTAACAAAAGCATAAATACAATTCAAAGACTCAATGAAAACACAACACCTTTACCCTGAAAAAGGGCTATGCACTACAGCTTACAACACTTTGCACCACAGCATGTGGTACAGAGCAACGTGCTCTGTTATTCTCTATGCCATGCATCATAGTGTAACACATACTACATTGCGGCACATATGATAGCAAATTTTGCTGTCATATGGCAGTTCAAAAGGCAAACTTCCACCATGCGCCAATTTCATATTTGACATCTGATTGGAGTGATTCAAGTACACACACCAAGCTTACAATGTATTCTAGCTAATGAGATAAGTTTGGACTTGATCTAAAGGTTTGATATAAAATTAGACACCTGGGTAGAAAAAGCTACTTTTTCTTTCAAAACTCATACCCTAAGTGTTCAATTCTCATTTATTGTCCCATTTAACCATTTTGGGCCTAGAACTAAGTCTAAAGAATCACATACATCTAATTAACACTTCTAATTACATACATCACATTAGTTACTCATATTGACCTCTCAATGCCACTTCTAAAAGTGTTTTGCCAAGGAAGGGCTCTTGGTGATGTGATGTGAGAGACAGAGGAAAGTATGATGAATCAGTATCCCCATTTGTTTTCATGAGGTGAGTTATAGCTATGTTTGAATTTTAGGAACAAAATTCCTTTAAAGAAGGGGAGAATTGTAACATATTAAACTTTAATCTAAGAAACTAGTTGCAATTAAGGGTAAATTAGTAATTAGTAATTAGTAATTAGTAATTAGTGAGTTAATTATGATTTTTGATAGAGGATTTGCTTAAAGCTAATGTGGTCAGTTCATGAAATTAAAAGGAAAGGTGAGAACAATGTATGGGAGAGAGGGAGAAAGACCACCTATGCTAGGGCATCAATTTACAGGAGCTTAAGAGTTTGCTCTGACCAGTGACTTATGTTGGAAATTGTGTCCTGGGCCAATCATTGTACAATAAACATTGTTATTTAATGAATTTCTCTTTCATAATCATATTACTTGTATGTTCACTATGATAACTGTATCCTTGAAAAAACTACAGTAATTATCCTAAATATCCCTAGTCAGTCATCTGTGAGGGATCATAGATAGGACAAGACTAGTATGACGTTGATTAATTATAGAGATATAAATCAAAGTTGTAGGCACTTGAAAGAGTATGAGATACTGGACTAACCCATTATGAGAAAGCTATATGGTACAAGTCATAAACTTATCCCATATATAACTATATCACTAAGCCTTTTGACTTGAGATTAACATGGATTCCTACATGATGACCACTGAACTTTGATCTAATTAAAAGTTACCTTTGACCAGGTGATCATAAAGGCTATGATTCAGTTTAGTGATATTCATACAGAGGAATATGATAGTCAAGATAGAATTTGTCCCTTATATTAATTGAGAAATATTACTAGGCCCCTCGATGAGTAAGGTTGAGAAAAATGTATGACCATACTATAATAGAAAGGGTCTTTCCATTGCTATAATCAGTCCATTCTGAGATTGAGAAAGTAATGATCAGATAAAGAATAATGACAATTCCATGTCTCACACTTGATTGAAATATCATGTGATAAAAGGGATGTGATAGGTTGTGTTAGATCATCAATCTCCATATAAACTGGGTAGGTGCAATGTCTTGCTAGAGGCCACTTGTGACTTATGGGCTAATAGTGTAATTAGCCCACAACCACTTCATATGGACCTACAGGGTCATACACAAGAACAACCCAATTCGAGCTATAATATTCAAGTTCATTGAATTTAGAACATGTCTATATTTAATGAATATAATTTAGGATGAACGAA